GCTCTTCGCGCGCGCGCGCGTGCGTGCGTGCGTGTCCGTCCGTCCGTCTGTAGCAAGAGGAAAGCGCACAATAACTGTGATTGAACGTGATCCAGCATCCGCGCCACGGAATTGCCCCATTTGAAAAATGGCCAAAGTGTGGGGGACAACACACAACAGCACAAAAAAACTAAATCAACAATAACAACAACAACCCCGATTTAAAGCTTTCGTGACTGCAGGGATTCATCTTCTTGGTTCTTTCGGTAAAGTCACGTAGAAGGGAAATAATAAAATAATACAAATAAAACATAATAAAAGAATAATATTTTATTTAAAAATAAAACATAATAAAATATTATGACTTTACCGAAAGAACCAATAAGAAGAACAACAACCCCGTCTCGACATCCCGGCTGGCTGAGCTACTATCCGTGGGCCCTGGGGGGGGGGGGGGGGGGGAGGGTCCCCCGCTCATCAAATGCATCCGATGGCGCGCGCGCGCGAATCGGAAGGCATGTGGTGTTTCTTTTACCTTTGTCGCTTTATTTAGAAGGAATACGAGCAGACTGCACGCAGGCTGCTGTGTGCAAGCGAACGGACCGCTTCCGTCATCAACACAGCATTTAATAGAACGTACGTTATCGTACTCTTTTTTCGGTAAAGTCACGCAGGTAAAACATTTAAATAAATTAAATCACGACGTTTCGGGCGCAACACAAGCGTCCTTCTTCAGGTGGGGACAACTTAGCGAAAGCACACCGCTTAAGTGTGTTGCGCCCGACACGTCGTGATTTAATTAATTAATTAATTTTGCCTACGTCACTTTACCGAAAAAAACCCAAAGAGTATGAATCCTTGCAGTCACGAAAACTTCAAATCTACAAGTACATTATCGTCATCATTATCATCATCAGCAGCAGTAGTCATGACCAATCCACTGCTGAATTAAAGCTTCCCCCTAGCCGCCACCGCATTCGCCATCCCGCACGCGAGCCGAAGGGCATCGTTCCATCTCCGCAGCGCGACGTCCTCCCTGCGGCACTTCCTCTTTCTCCCTCTAAGCCTGCGTACTTTACTACGCGTCTCTTCGTACTCATTGACATGTAAAAATGTTTTCTATAACCCCTTCTTCTCTCTGCCTCCGCCCCCCTCTGTCTTTTTAAGGCCACCCCACAGAGACGATCACCCCTCTCTGTACCTGTGTTGCTCTCTCTATGTATCTTGGTGATATCTGTCTGCTTATATGTCTGTCTATAGTTTTCTGGTTAGATTTTATGTCGCTATGTCATTATACCTGATGATTATTGCTTGTGTTGCAATCGAAACGTCGTATGCTATTATTTAATTTATTATTTTATCTGTATACGTGACTTTACCGAAAGAACCAAAGAATGAATACTCCCTCATTCGCCTGCGACTCTCAACCCGGGTCCTGGCCGTCGGCCGTGTCCTTCCCAAGGTCGCTGAACTTTTCTCGGCGGGAGGCACAGAAAGAAAATTTTAAAAAAACATCCCTCGCCACTTTCATCATCGGCATTGCTTTGAAGAGACAAGATGCAGGAGTCTTGACATTTCTGGCAATTGGGCCCCCTCTTTAGAGCGGAGAAAGGGCAGTTGTATTGATTGATCGATTGATTTTATTTCGCCGGCCGGGAACGCACTGAGACGAAAGTCTATTTGGGAAGGGGGTGACCTGGGGTCTGGGGGGGGGGGTGACTGCATCGTTGTGCGGTTGAGACGCAGAGCTCGGAGATCTACTCTGGACGAAAGAAGTTCGGCGGCTCATTGGCAACAGATGGGTAAGAAAGGTAAAGGTGCAGCCTTTGCCCATGCTAAACGCTGGTGGAAAGGCATTCCCTCTAGGGGTATATCGGCCCACTCTTCCACGTTGGGCTGACGTCCTGTGGACCATCGTACACACTGCTTGCCACAGCCCCCCCCCCCCCCCCGACCCCTTGACCCCCCCCCCAACACCCTATATAAACACGTTGTCTCGTAATAACCCTCCTCAGACGCCTCAGTAATTTTGCTGGAGCAGTCAACACCTGATGACGGTTGCTTGTGTTGCTTCCGAAACGTCGTGATTTAATTTAATTTGTTTTCATTTTAATTAATTTTTTTACCTACGTGACTTTACCGAAAAAACCCAAAGAGTATAGAAAAATAATATAAATAAATAAAGTGCATACAAATATCATGACGTTTCGATCGCAACACAAGCGATAGGCGACGTTTTGGGCAATGGCTTTCTTCATAGCACACATTATATTTGTATTCACTTAATTTAGTTTCTATCTACGTGACTTTACCGAAAGCACCAAAGAATATAATTTAACTTTGTTTTCCTTTTGAAAATATTACTGGGGGCCTCACAGTACCTGTAGCCAAGGGGCCTATAAAATCTTCATCCGGCCCTGGTTAGAGGGAGCACAGAGAACCAAGCCGTGCCAAACACAAGTCACGCCTAACAGAGGCGTAGATCACACTCTGCCAGCAAGTGTTTGCGTAATTCTTTCAAACAGCAAGGTGCAAAAGTTAGATTAAATTCCACAAATATTGATTGGTGTCTAGAAAGCCTGGCTGTCACTATGACGAGCCAGAGAAACTCTCTGCATGCTCACCCAAAACATGAAACCACTATTTAGTGGGCAGTTACAAGGCAGTGTTAGTGACAGAAGGTAGATGCGTTTGTATTTCTCTAATTTCAACAAACATTAGGCAACAATTGCCTAACTTGCGTGTGTTCTCTCATTTACGCGTGCCTCTGTGTGTATCTCATTGATTTCATCGTGGTGACTGCTAAGAAAAGTTGAGTGGCTCGTGGTCGAGACCAATTACTTAGTGGCAGCTAAAGGGGCGAATGCACTCAAGAGGACATCCACCCGCGCCAGAGATGGCGCAATCGCAGTCAGCTTGTGTGCAGGTGTTGGATGGATTGTTTACATCGTAAGTCCGTGAGAGACGGTGATGGCTTGGGGAGGCCTTCATCCAGCAGCACGAGTGGCAGTTGTCAACAATCTGAACCTAGCCTGTGCCTCCGCTAGGTAGACTCCGGCGAAAACAATGACCTTGGACAGTGGATTTGTGGACACCGGCATTGCACAAAGACGACTAACAAAATAACAAAAAAACCTCAACACATTCGACAATAATAACACGACCTCAAAAGGAAATGTATATGATAGGCGACGTTTCGGGCAATGTCTCTTCTTCATAGCACACAGGCGTCTTGACTGACATTGGTATAATCACCGAATAGTGGATACGCTGAAGCTGCTTGGGTGCGCGTGCCGCTGTCCAGAGTGCTGACCTACGCCTCGCTGAATAGACGCTCGCTAACAAACGCTTCATCATAATTATAATGAAATAATCCATAGTAGTTTATTTTAATCCACTGCTGGATGAAGGCCTCCCATCATGCCGTGGGGTTGTGTGGCCATACTTCATCACACTGGGCACTGTCAACCAGACGCGAGCCGTTCCCCGAGCCCTACTTGCCGAAGCAAATCCGAGCCCTGCCCAACATCCCAACCAGATGTCAAACACTCGTCCTTCCCCTGGCCGTAATTAAACCGGACCCTAACGCCAGCCCCACCCCTGACCATAACCCTGACCTCACCTCTAGCACCGAGTGCACGCAACCCACCTTAAACTGTTTAGTTCACTCACGGAATTATTAACTGCGCACTGTAACCACGCGCCCACGAACACTCCTCACCACAAAGATAAAGATCCCCCGTATAGCCTTAACAGACTGTAGGGGCAAGTGCTGATAGCGAGCACCTATGGAGGTCCAGAACGGTACACGAGGAGATGGGTGGCCAGCGTCACGCCCGACCGCCTTTGTCTCCCTAGCGGCGATGTTTACACACCACACCAGGTACTCATTTGAGGCTGAGTTGACCTAGGGGAGGCCCAGGACCGGTTCAGATAATCGTCACTGGTGTTTGCCGTGAGCGGGAATCGAACCCGGGTCGCCAAGTTCATAGTGCAGCGCACTAACCATTACACTACCGCTCCCCATCACCACACACACCCGTACACCCACACACCTCACCGCACATATACCCCACACCCACAACCTGGCCGCATATACACCCACACCCACGCACATACCCCACCACATCGCACAAATACCCAGACACGGCACCACACCCACCCTTAAAACGGCACCACACGAACAAAGACCCCCCCCCACCCCCCGTTTCGCCTTAAGATACTTTCGGGGCAAGTGCTGTTAGCGAGCACCTATGAAGGCCCGCAGGGTACACGAGGGGGTAGGTGGCATATACCACGCCCGGCCGCCTTTGTCTCCCAAGTGGCGATGTTTACACGTCGCACCAGGTACTTAATTGAGGCTGAGTCGATCTAGGGGAGGCCCAGGACTGGCTCGGAGTTCGCTAACACGCACACACATTTCTTGGGTATACGTTAAGGGAGGCGGGAGAACGGGGTAACGGGGGGTAGGGGGTGCAGTAGAAGTAGAGTACAACATCACTCAGAAGGGAGCGGAGGGCAGACACTTGTAATGAATGAATATGCCGCGTGTTTAGCCCGACCCGGTGGGCTGCCGCGACAAGAGAAGCATCAAGGGGCGGGAGGATGACTCGAGATTGGAGGGAGTGGGAGGCGGGGTGGAATGATACGATGGGGATTGGGAATGGGGGGGGAGTGGAGAAGGGGAGGGGTGCATTAATACGAGCAACCCCTCCCCCCCCCGGTTCCCATAGTCCACCACCACCATCATCACCAGCATCACCAGCACCACCAGCACCACCACCAGCAGCACCAGCACACCACCATCATCATCACCAGCACCACCACCATCACCAACCCCCGCGCCGCGCAATACCGCACGCCATACGGCTGCACTCCCCGGGCCGACGGCAATAGACAGAGGAGGAGCTGCTCATTTGAAATGTAATTTGCGCGATGGTTTATTTATTTATTAGCAACGTCAAACCAGCGAGGAACTGAGATCCCCCCCCCGACCACCACCATCACCAAGCCACCACCAGCAGCAGCAATAGTAACACATCATCATCATCAGCATCCAGCCAGCCACCACCATCATCATCAGCAGCAGCAGCCGCAATACGAAGCAGAGCAACTGCAGCGGCCGTGCGTGCGACAGATGCTGGCTGGCGCGTTATTGTTACCGGGCGGGGTGGCGTGGCTATATATATAGCGTTAGGGGTTGTGTGTGTGTGTGAGTGAGTGAGAGGGTGCGTGTGTGAGTACGTGCGCGCGTGCGTAGTATTTATACGTTCCTGTTCGCGTGCGGAGGACGGCTTCGATCAGTGGTGGAGAGAGACAGGGCAGAGATGCAGGTGAGGAATTCACGCTCTCCTGTACGCGGCAACGGGTACATTGCATGCAGGTGTACACACACACACGCGTGTACGCACATGCGTGCAGATGCATACACAAACATGCGTGCACATACACACGGACATGCGTGCACTCGTATATGCGCACGTGTATGCATGCACACATGCATGCACGCGCACAGATATACATACATATGTTTACGTGCGCGCGTATACACACATGCATGCGCATACATATGTATGTATGTTGAACTTCGTTCGCACCGTACGTAGCCAGCCATGCTAATCGGGGGTGCACGTGTATGCGCATGTATACACACGCGAATGTAATACATACACATGTACACACATGCATAAGTATACATGCACCTTTACACACACATGTATAAACATACACATGTACACACATCCGTACGTGTACGCACATGCATGTACATATGTACACGTGGATACTGCTGCTGCCTTTAAAAGGAAAACATAACAGGCGACGTTTCAGGCAATAGCCCTTCTGCCTAGCACGTTGTGATGACACTGCTGCTGCAGCCCATTGTATGTGATGTAAAGAAGGGCCAATGCCTGAAACGTCGCAAATTGTATACTGTCCACAGTGTTATTGAGGAATGTGTTGAGTTTTGAGCCGACTGTTTGTGTATATCACTTACCGTGCCGACGCACATGCCAAACGATGCGTACTACTACTTAGTACTCGGGCTAATGTGATGTTTGTGTATCTATACGTGGTACGATGTGGACATGCGTTATATAGAATTCCACACACTTTATATACACACGTGCTGCTTACGCATACATCATCATTATTATCAGTCATGGACACATAACCTGAGGCCACCGATATACAACGCTGCTGCTGCTGATCGTGATTGTGCTGGTGGTTATGATGCTGGTGATGCTGCTGCTGATCGTGATTGTGCTGGTGGTTATGATGCTGGTCGAAGATCATGCTGATTGTTATGATTCTTGTGATGCTGCTGGCCCTGCTGATGGTGATATCAGTGAGGCTTCTATTGGTGTTGATACTGCTGATGATGATTATTATGATGGTGCTACTGATGATAGTCCTGCTGATGATGATAGTGATGGTGCGTACGTTGTTGCTTGTGATAATGATGCTGCTGATTCTGCTGCTGATGATGCTGGTGATTACAGTTACACTGATTAGTATGGTGGTGTTGATGATGATGGTGACAGTGGCGAAAGCGTTGCTGCTGATACTGCTGCTGGTGGCGATGATACTGCTGATTCCACTGCTGCTACTGATGATACTAACTGTGATGGTTATACTCGTGATTCTGCAACTGCTGCTGATAATTAATTGTAGCGGATGTTTTTTTTCTGTTGACGCTGCTACTGCAGTTATTGCTGCTGCAACGAATGATGATTGTATTCATGTCATTGCGACTAATAATGATGCTGCAGTAGCTGCTGCTGATGAATACGGCGAGGGTGCTACTCATATCTTGCCGCTGATGCTGTTGTTGCTGCTGATGATGAACGAACCACTGCTGATCCTACTGCTGCTGATGATGATGATGATGCTGATGCAGGTTGCTACCTTTGATACTGCTCCTGCTTCTAATAATGCTGCAACTGTTGATGACGGTGCTTCTGCTGATACCACTGCTGCTGCTGATGATGTTGTTGCTAATGACGGCAGCTATGCTACTGCTGCTGCTGCTGCTCATGGACGATGTTGCCGTTGCTGATGAACGTGCTACTGCTCACCACGATGATGATGATGATGCTGGTCCAGCAACAGTTTCCAATACCCCCTGTGTATGTTACGTGCACCGCCAGGACGCGCAGAGGTGCACACATGTCATGCACTGCTGCCTCTCGCCCCCCTCGGTGCGGCTTTACCGAAGATGAATACGGCACGCGCGCGTGCGCACAGCTCAATGGCTTGCCATGAGAATGTTGATTTTGAGCAATTCATTACGGTTGCGATAATCAATAGAGATGAACCATTACGTTAGGAATCTGATCGAACGCTATCCCTGCATTGTGCACATCGGCGCGTGTCGGCGCGTGCTGTGATTGGGGATGCGTGACTCATTATAATCTTTAAAAGCGTCATCAGCAGCAGCAGCAGCATCAGCAGCAGCATCAGCATCATAACCACCAGAATCGTCATCAGCCGCAGCATCCCCATCCCAACCACGAGCATCAATGGCAGCAGCATTATAAGCAGCTCTTATCACTAACATCATTAGCATCACCAATAAGAACCATCATCATTAAGAGCAGTATCATCATCAGACAGCAATATCATCATCAGCAGCAACTCTACCACCGATATAATCAGCAACACCATCATCACCATAAAATCATCAGGAGTAGCAGCAGCATCAATTGCATGAATGTCCCTTCCACGAACGTGATTATCACCAGCACCTCCACCGTTGTGGTCTTCGTCGTTATCATCACCGGTAGTAACATCGCCAGCATCACAACCACCATCGTATTCAACATAATCATCAGCACTAGCCGCATCATCATCATAACCAGCAGCATACTCATCATCAATCACCCACGCTGCAGATCACAACACTTATCTCTCTGCTTCTGCCCTCGCGCTACTCCACTTTTGAATTCCCTGCTCCCATCACCGTCGTCTCTTTTCCCCAAAGCTCTTACAATAATAGCCTGGCTCAATTCAATACATGTGTTACACAATCGTGTCTATTGCAAGGTTTGATAAGAGTGACGTTTGTCGCTGGCCCTTTGACGTTTTGGGTTTTGGGCCCGTGTTCAGCAATTGTGTTAAAAAAATATATAATCAGCAGTAGCAGCAGCACAAACATCTCTACCGCCAATATCATCATCATCACTGCCATCATCATGAGCAACAGCAGCAGCAAACCGTATCACTATTGCAAAGCATCACCATCATCATGACTGCTATAGCCATCATCACCATCAGCAGCAACATCACAACCGATAAAATAATTTTCGCCATCAGCAGCAGCATTGCCAGAATCATAACCACCACCATCACAAGCAGAATCATAACCACCACCATCACAAGCAGAATCATAACCACCACCATCACAAGCAGCTGCAGCATCATCAATCATCAGCATCTTTATCAACAATCGTCATCAGCAGTAGCATCATTACACTCACCAACATCGGCAGCAGAAACAGTATTATTATAATCGCAACCAGAATTTCCATCTGCAATCACCATGAGTTACAGCACCACAACTACGAGCATCACCACCACCACAATCGTTGTCACAGCCATCTTCATCAGCATCGTTAGCATCACAGCTATCAAAATCATCATTATAATTACGAGCAGGAAAATCACAACCATCATCATCACCATCGTTGTCAAAGCCATCTTCATCAGCATTTCACCACCAACCAGAATCGGCAGCAGCATCGTCAGCATCAAAACTATCAAAATCATCATAATCATCATAATTATCAGCAGTAAAATCACAACCATCATCGTTATCACCATGATCACCATTATTAGCATCACAACCACGATCATCATCACCACCACCACCATCCTCATCACCGCAACATCCAACGTCATTCTTGTCACTGACACCACAAACCACCGCCATCAATCACCATCACCACTAACACTTCCACCACCCATCATCATTGCCATGACAGCAATTATCATCGTTATCAACATCATCATTGACACGACAACCACCATCACCACCCATCGTCGTCATCATCACCATCATCACAACACTCATCATCATTATTTCGCAGATTGTGATGCTCTGCCGCCCCTACTGCTACTGCGATTTCTGCCATCATCATCATCATTACTGCTGCTGTTGCTGCTGTTTTTGCTGTATCCTAGCTGCTGCTGTTACTTGTATTGTCCGTGCTGCTGCTATTACTGCTGTTGTAGCTGATTTAGCTGCTGTTGTTGTAAGTGCTGTTGTTGATGCTATTGATGTTGTTGTAGCTGCTGCTATTGTTGTGGCTGATGTAGCATGTTGTTGTTTTTGTTGCTATTGTTGTGGCTGCTGCTGTTTGTTGTGGCTGCGGTTGTTGTTTTGGCTGTTGCTATTTGTTGTGGCTGCTGTTGTTTGCTGTTGATGTGGCTGCTGCTGTTTGTTGTGGCTGTTGTTGCAGCTGCTGTTGTGGCTGGTGTTGTAGTTGCTGTTGTTGTTGTGGCTGCTGTTGTCGCTGCTGCTGTTGTTGTTGTGGCTGGTGTTGTAGTTGCTGTTGTTGTTGTGGCTGCTGTTGTTGTTGTGACTGCTGTTGTAGTTGCTGTTGTTGTGGCTGCTGCCGTTTGTTGTGGCTGCTGTTGTTGTTGTGACTGCTGCTGTTTGTTGTGGCTGCTGTTGCAGCTGCTTTTGTGGCTGGTGTTGTAGTTGCTGTTGTGGCTGCTTTTGTCGCTGCTGCTGTTGTTGTTGTGGCTGCTGTTGTTGTGCTGCTGTTGTCGCTGCTGTTGTTGTTGTGACTGCTGCTGTTGTTGTTGTGGCTGCTGTTGTCGCTGCTGTTGTTGTGGCTGCTGCCGTTTGTTGTGGCTGCTGTTGTTGTTGTGGCTGCTGCCGTTTGTTGTGGCTGCTGTTGTTGTTGTGACTGCTGCTGTTTGTTGTGGCTGCTGTTGCAGCTGCTTTTGTGGCTGGTGTTGTAGTTGCTGTTGTGGCTGCTTTTGTCGCTGCTGCTGTTGTTGTTGTGGCTGCTGTTGTTGTTGTGACTGCTGCTGTTGTTGTTGTGGCTGCTGTTGTCGCTGCTGTTGTTGTTGTGACTGCTGCTGTTGTTGTTGTGGCTGCTGTTGTCGCTGCTGTTGTTGTGGCTGCTGCTGCTGTTGTTGCTGCTCACGGTGTTGGCAGTGCAGTGGGGCGATCTGCTCCGCTCGACGTCTTAGGAGCCGTGTCGCCGCGCGCCCTATAAATAGCGCGCACGTGTGCGACATACTAACGCCGCTGTCAGCAACTCCAACAACAACAGCAACAGCGCAATTTCACCAACAACAACAGCTGCTTCATAATTCGTGAATG